GGGGGAATGGGGTCTGGAGGGGGTGGGATGGGGTCTGGAGGTGGTGGGATGGGGTCTGGAGGAGGTGGGATGGGGTCTGGAGGAGGGATGGGATCTGGAGGTGGTGGGATGGGGTCTGGAGGAGGGATGGGGTCTGGAGGAGGTGGGATGGGGTCGGGATGGGGCTCTGGAGGGGGAGGAATGGGATCCGGAGGGGGAGGAATGGGCTCCACCTGCGGAGGGGGAATGGGAGGGGGCTCCACCTGCGGAGGGGGAATGGGAGGGGGCTCCTCCTGCGGGGGTGGGATGTCACGGCTGGGGAGCCTCTACCGCGGCTCCTATTTCTCAGGCTATGGTAGGAATTATTATCCCTATTACTCCCGAGGGTACTACAGGTATCGCTACGGGAACTACGGGAATTACGGGCCTTTTTAACCCTTTAAAGCTGGGAAATGTCCAAAGGAAAAATAGGAAGCAGGGTAGTTAGTTGAGAGCTAGGAATTCCAAGCAGCCTCTGCTCCAGCTGGTCCAGTCGGAGCTGGGGTTGTTTGGATCTTGTTTGTGCTTTATCCAAGGCTTAGGATCCCGATGTTCCCTCCCTTTGTCCCTCGCTCCTGTTGTGTTTTGTACTCCCTGAACCCAAAGAGTCAAACCAGTCATGGGACTTGGCTGTGAAAGTGTCCGGCTGGAAAAAGAATGTCTTGGAATGACTGCTGGACTGGGGTCCAGGCTGCCATGGGAATGCTGAAATGGGAATGCTGAAACGGGAATGCTGACATGGGAATGCTGAAAGGGGAATGCTGACCTGGGAATGCTGAAATGGGAATGCTGAAATGGGAATGCTGACATGGGAATGCTGAAATGGGAATGCTGACACGGAGATTCCGTTCTTTGTCTCTGCACTGCCTCATCCCACTTTTTGTTTGTATTAAAGCCCTGTTGCATCACAGCCCTGGGTTCTGCCTTTTATTTCACCACAGTTTCAGTTACAAACTGGCCTGAAAGAAGGGAATCCTTGTGCAGCAATTAACTCTCATCAGAGGGGAATTAATTCTGCTTTAATGCAAATATAATTGGTCTGAAATTCCTCAATAAACTATTTTCCCTTTCTGATCTATTCCACACTATCCAACAAATAACACAGAATAATTTCCAATAGGTTGGAAAAACCTCTGGGGATGGACTGATGCAGCTGCCAGTTAAAACCAGTTTACCCTTGGAGCCAGGGTAATGGGGGATTGGGATGCTTAGGGGTGGCCTCATTTTGTGAGCATCAAAGGTTGGACTTGATGACCTTGGAGGTCTTTTCCAGCCTAAATGATCCTGGGATTCTGCGGAAAGGAAAACCGGGAAGCTGCCAATGCAATTCGGAAAGATTTTTATTAGGGTGAAGTAAATGAAATAGAACAAAACAGAGCAATTCATGGGTGGTGCCAGGGCAGCCAGGCCACCCCCGTGGGTGACAACAGCCACTCCACAAGGTGAAGCCGGGGCCTTTACAGCAAGCCCCACATGGAATTCTGAAGCATTCCCGCCCCAACAGAAAGGACACAGGAGCAAGATTAATTAAAGAGTTCCAGGAGAGACGCCGTCCCACGGAGTGGGGCTTGATTGGAGATGAGGCGCAGCAGGAGGGGATGTGGGCCTGGTTTTCAGGGATCAGCCTCGGAATTCCAGGCCTGGAAGTGGATCTGGATCCTGGGTTTTCATCCTCTGGGTTGTTCGGCCTTAGGATGAGCCCCAGCTCCCCAGGCAGGACCCGCCGCGGACGCTGCGGAACCTCCGGCCGTACGAGGAGCCCCCCATTCCCAGGGAGCCTCCGTAGCCGCAGGCACCCCCAGACCCAAAGGAACCCCTGGCCCCCAGCACGCCCCCGTAGCCACAGGACCCACGGGAGCTCTGCATTCCATAACCAAAGGAACCCCCATATCCCATGGGACCCCCCATCCCCGAGGAGCCCCCGTAGCCAAAGGAGCCCCCAGATCCGAAGGAGGGTCCTGCCCCCGCCATGCCCCCAGCCCCAAAGGAGCTGCCCACCCCGTAGGGCTCATCGGAGATGCTCGCGATGGGAGCGCCCAAAACCATGGGTTGGGACGCTCCCACCACGCTCTCCTGGGAGCAGGTGCTCATGGTGGGGCCCGGGAAGGTGAGGACCACGGGAGGAGGGAACACCACGGCTTTGGAGTCCCCACAGGAGGCGATGCAGGGCTCCAGGCTCCTGCTGTAGGCACAGGGCTGGGTGCAGGCCACCTCGCAGCCCGGCAGGCACTCGGAGCTGACGTTGGACATCATCTCTTGGGATTTGGGATCAAGCTGGGAGAGGAAGTGTGAGGTCAAGGAAGCAGCACAGCCAGGCCACGGGTTCCCAGTATGAACCAGCTGTACTTTGTCCTTCTCCAGCTGCTCCCAGTTCAATCCTCCCTCACAGATTCCCATTTTTCCTGCTATCTCCTTCCTTCCTGACCTGTTTGAGGCTTCTCAGTTCTTCCTTTCCTACCACCACAACTCTTTTCCTTCTGAATCTCTCAAATGAAAAAAAAATCTTCCCCTTTTCTCTGGGGCTGAACTGTTGATCCTTAAACAATTCCTTGCCCAGAATAATTCCCTTTTCAAGCAGTTCTACAGGAAGATTTGCCTTCAGAAAGTCCCCAAGGAAAATCGTCCCATTAATTCCCTTTTCAAGCAGATCTAGGGGAAGATTTGCCTTCAGAAAGTCCCCAAGGAAAATGTTCCTTGCTCTGTCCTTCCCTTTCCCCCAGCTATTCTAAATCTACTCTTCTCTCCCTCAGCTTTTCTAAAACTCCCGTAATTTTGCAAGATAAAAAAAGGAGAAAATTCAAAGTATTGAGGAGTGCAATGAAGTCCGACTCACCTCGTTGTCTTGGAGGGAATAAATCAGTGGAGCTGCGAGGATGGGAGATGCCTCAAGTCTCTCCCCTTTTATTCCATTTTCAGACAATGAGGAGGACGTGATGTCACCCATGATTTACTAAATTCTTATCACTTACAAAGAAAAAGATCCTCTTAAGCCTCGCCATTGTTTTCATTTCATCTCGTAATTGCTGATCATTTCCAGCCCTGCTTTGAGTGACACAAACCCAACACCCAAAAGTCTCCTTTTGTCTCAGACTCCATGGAGGAAAATCCTTTCGGCATCATTCTGGTTCCAAAAGAAACAGGACCTGATCTCTGTGTTTATTTTCCCTCAGTGACTCCCAGGAAGGTGGCTCCCCTCATGTCACTCACACAACCGGGGTGTAATCCTCAGATTTGGGTGAAATCCCTCCCAAATGGAATCATCCGACCTCGGATGGGGGTCAGGGCTCTTTGCAACCCTTCGCGCGCCCACAGATTGAGGGGATGAGACACCAAAACTCACTTCAAAGGCATTGAAGTGACGTGCAAGGTCCTCTAAGCCCTGAAACCTCTGAGTAATTTTAATCAAAACTCATTTTTGGTGATGCTGAGCTGAGTGTTGTCACCAGGATGTCACCAGTGCCACTGTAAGGGCACGGCCCAAGGTCACCGAGCCTTTGTGCTCCAAGGTGGATCCCAAACTTGGAACCTTGGTTGGAAAAGCCCTCCAAGGTCGTCGAGTCCAACATTTGAGCCATCACCACCTGGTCACCCAGACCAATGTCCAGTTGGTTCCTCGGACACCTCCAGGAATGGAGACTCCAAATCCCCCTGGTCAGCCCCTTCCAAAGCCCTTTCCATGAGGAAATTCCTCCTGAAGCTCTTCCCAAATGGGTTTGACCTTCAAAATTATCTCATCATCAACCCAAGCCGTTCCTTACTGCAGACTTGCAGGGTTGATCTTGTCCAGGCCTCACTTAAATCATTAACGAAAAATAACAGGCAGGGGTCAGGTTCCATTGTAAATCCAGTCATCCCTGGGATGTTGCACAGGAACCGGGGCTGTAAAATTCCCACACAATGAAAAAGCCAAATTTATGATATGAGAGTCAGATTGTATATGTCGAGGGTTGATTTGCTAATTGGGAACTATGAAAATAATTACAGGCGTTAGAGGAGTCACACAGAGGAAAAAAATCAGAATTTGGTAAGGCTGAGAGATTTTATGGGATGTTTCATACCCCAGGAGCTGCCTCCAAAGATGTATAAAAGCAGGAACCTCTCAGGAGTCTCCTCAAACCATCTTCTGACTTCTCCTGCACCTTCAGGTGAGTTGGATTTAAGCTGATCTTTGCTCTCTCTCATTCTCTGTAGTGATAGTTTTAAAAAAGGACTTGTTCCTTGATTTCGGGGATTTTAGCTGGGAGATGTGGCAGTGAAACCCTGCTTTTCATTGGAGTCTCACTGCAGTCACTTGGAAGAAATCAATCTGATATTTAAAGATAGAATTTTAGGAGTTATTTGAATTTTTCTTGTGGCTTTTCAAAGCTTGAGGCACAAATTTAAAGCTTAAATTTACTGAAAACCCAAATCCCGAGGTGTCTTCTGCAGGGAAGGGAGAAATGGTGTCCCAGGACAGGAGGATCTGAGGGAGGAGGTGAAGCCACACATTGATCCTGTGGCCAGTTCTGGGTCCCCCAAGTCAGGAAGGCCACTGGGGGGGCCTGGAGAAGCTGGAGAAGGGTCTGGAAAATCCTGAGGGAGCTGGGGCAGCTCAGCCTGGAGAAAAGGGAGATCCAGGGGGGATTTTGGGCTTCTCCAGTGGGGATTTGGGATCTGATCCCAGGGAATGGAACAGGACAGGGGGGAACGGCCTTGAGCTGTGCCAGGGCAGGCTCAGGGTGGGAAATTTGGGAAAATCCCTCCTGGAAAAGGGAAAAGGCCTTGGAAGGGGCTCAGGGAGGTTTGGAGTGACCATCCCTGGAGGTGTCTGAGGAATAGACAGGTAGGGGTTGGGAACAGCTTGGACTCGATGCTCTTGGAGGTCTTTTCCAACCTTGGGGCTCCTGGAATTCCCTGAGCAGGAAGGACAAACCCCATTTGCTGTCCATACATTCCCTGACTCCATCTTGTCTCTCCCAGCTCCTCCTCCAGCCCTGAGAACCATGAACTGCATCAGCTCCCGGTGCCTGCCCGGCTGTGAGGTGGCGTGTCCCGAGCCCTGTGCCTACAGCAGAGGCCTCGGCCCCTGCGTGGCCTCCTGTGGGGACTCCACGGCCCTGGTCTATGCCCCACCCGTGTGGATCACCTTCCCTGGCCCCATCCTGAGCTCCTGCCCCCAGGAAAGCATCGTGACATCATCCATGCCCCAGCCCTCTGGTGGTCCCTCCTACGGCTCAGGGATGGGAGGCTACTCTGGTGGCCTGTCCAGAATTGGGGGCTCCTACGGATCTGGGGGCTCCTACGGATCTGGGGGCTCCTATGGATCCGGGGGCTCCTATAGCTCTGGGGGCTCCTACGGATCCGGGGGCTCCTATGGATCTGGGGGCTCCTACGGATCTGGGGGCTCCTACGGATGTGGGAGCTCTTCGGGGAAGTTGGGCTCCTCTGGATGTGGGGGCTCCTCCTCGGGGGGCTGCTACCTCAGGAAGTTCTACACCAGCAGCAGCCGCGGATCCCGCCTGGGAAACTGAGGCAGCTGAAGATCCGCAGGGAGACGGAGCCCCACGATCCAGACCCGCAGCTGGGACCGGCTTTCGGAGATGGCAAAAAAAACATCAACGGGAGCCACCCTGGCTCAGGACCTCTGGGAACCGGGCCCACACCTCTTCCCTGCATCTCCCCTTTGTCTTCAATTAACAACAGCCTCTGTTAATCACCCTTCAGCACCAGCTCCTTCTTTCCATTGTGCCGAGAGAAGAAAAACAGAGCAGCTTGAAAGGCCTGGCATGGAGCTTGTCAGTGCAGCCCTGACAGGAGAAGAACAATGGGTGGAAGGTGGATTCTTCTTGGGCAGTGGGCTGAAGGAAGGAGTGTCTGTTTGGTGTCATTTGTAGTGTATCCTATTAAAATCCTCCTGCATCATCATTTTGTTGGGATTTCCTTTCTCTGCAGGGATGTTTCGGTGCCATCCTCTATCTCTCTGGGCTTCCTCGAGCTGGCTCTGTGAGCAGCAATTATAGGGTTTTATGGTAATCGGGACGTAATTGTTTAATTAATTTGGGTTGTGAAACGGAGGGTTGGATGAGCAGCCAAAATTCAAGCACAAAAAGGTTCAGTTGTTCTCTGGGGGGGCACGAGGGTCTCTGGAGGTGACGACTTTGATGAACGTGCGAGGGGTGGGATGTGGTCAGCTGACGGCTGGAAAGCCACGAGGTTTTTATTTTACACCCTGGTTTAGCTCAGCTCCTCCCTCCTGTTCATTCCTGGAACCATAAAATCCAGTCCTTGAGGCTGGAAAAAATCTCCAAGGTCACCGAGTCCAACCCTTGGTCAATGTCCACCTCCCACCAGACCAGTGCCATTAATAATGGCAGTTTCCAGTTCTTCCTCGGACACCTCCAGGGGTGACCACTCCAAACCTCCCTGGCCACCTTTTCCAGGAGAAATTTTCCCAAATTGCCCACCCTGAGCTTCCCCTGGCACAGCTCGAGGCCGTTCCCTCTTTTCCTGGTCCTGTTCCCTGGGAGCAGAGCCTGGCCCCCATCCATTCTGCAGCCATATTTAAAACCAGTTTCTGGGAATTGTCGTGATTCCCTGCAGAATTCTGAGGTCCAGGAAAGCTGAACACATTTTCGGGAGTATCAAAGAACGTGAACCAAGGCAAAAATGTGAGGATGGGGATGGGAGCCAGAGTAAATCCACCAAGGAAGCTCTCCTTGGTTTCTGAGCTGGCAGTGCCAAACGCTTCTAGACGTGGAGAAATTCCTCCCGACTGTGGCATCATCAAAGAGCTGCTTTTATATGACAGCAAAATGTCACCAGTCTGTGCAAGAGAGGATTTCCCAAGGGAGGAGTGACACAAGAGCTCGGGTCCCGCCTGGTGCTGTTGTTTTCTGTCGGGATGGGAACACAGAGATAGAACCCTGGGCGAGCCCCAGCTCTAAAGATGACCTAAAACCCAGCTTTACTCCCTTGTAAAACATGGGAGGGAGAGCAGGACCCCCCCAAAAAATTCAAAATATGTTTTTAATACTTTTTATTGCACTATAGAATCGTTAATATTTATTAAATCAAGAAGGATGAACTGAAATATGGGAAATATAAAAAAAAAAAATTGTCCCTATGAGAGATTCCTGCTTGGAAAATGAAATTTTTTGCTCAGTGTTTAAGCTGAAAGTGTGTTTAAAAAATTGAACTGACAGCTCTGGAGGTAAATAGAAAATTAGATGACACACGACTGAAGTTGCTTAAATTCCCTGTGTGCCTAAAGAGGTTTAGGAATTTTAATCTGCGATTAATTTAATGATGGCACCCAATAAATTCATCAGCTCCGAGCAAAACCTTAATGGGGCTGAAGGAACAGGCTCAATTGGAAAACAATTAGATAATTTGTTTGCAATCATGGTGAAGCTCTGGAGAGAGGAGGAAAAATCCCACAGAATTCCAGTTCAGCAAATCCCAGGATGCGTCACAGGGTGAAACCAGAGCTCCAAATTCCTGTTAAAGTGGCCTGAAAGTTACTCCAGGATTTTAGAGAGGAGGGTTTCAGCTGGCTCTGGGCAAAGTGGTTTCCAGCCGAAGGATTCGTAGGAGAAAAGGTGGAAAAGAAAATGTCAGGCAGAAATAGGGATATAAAAGAATTTTAATGGGAAATATTGATGGTGGAAAATTTGTTGTCCCCATCCTCAAACCCAGTGCTAAGTGGGATAATTGGGCCTGGTTCCCATCCAGGAGCCTCCAACCCTCCCAAATTCCTGAATTAGGCAAAAAGATGAGTTGGAAAAAGGAAAAAGAAACCAACAACAGGAATTTGAATGCAACAGAACTTTAATGGCAGGGAAGGGCTGGGGGCACAGTCACACTCAGGGAGCACAAAGGACGATTCCCAAGGCTTTGGGAAGCGATGCAGATCCACAAAGGCTGGAGAAGGCAGTTCCTGGGATGCTCCTGGCTCGCAGCTTCCCCAGGAGCTGAGCCCAGCCCGTGGCTGCTGCCGGGGGAGCCGGGGCTGCCTTAGAATTAATAGAAGCCGCAGTTTCCTCCTCCGAACCTCCTGGAGCTGGAGCTGCCCCCTCCGTAGGATCCCCCTCCGCAGGAGCCGCCCCCAAAGGAGCTGCCCCCGCCGCAGGAGCCCCCAAAGCCGCCACCCGAGGAGCCCCCAAAGGATCTTCTGCCCCCAAAGGATCTGCTCCCCCCGTAGGAGCCCCCGGAGCCAAAGGATCTGCTCCCCCCATAGGAGCCACCCATGGAACCACCTCCGTAGGACCCCCCAATTCCACCCATGGAACCGCCTCCATAGGATCCACCCATGGAGCCGCCTCCATACGATCCACCCATGGAACCACCTCCAATGGATCCCCCAATTCCACCCATGGAGCCGCTGCCCCCTCCGTAGGATCCCCCAATGGAGCCCCCGGACCCAGAAGATCCCATGGCCCCCATTGGGAAGGAGGTGCCCACGATGCTCTCCTGGGGGCAGGAGCTGAGGATGGGCCCCGGGAAGGTGATGACCACGGGTGGAGGGTAGACCACAGCCCGCGAGTCCCCGCAGGAGGTGACGCAGGGCTGGTTCCAGGCGTCCGCGTAGGGCTGGGGACAGGACACCTCGCACGGGGACGAGCAGCCGCTGCTCATCATCGCTCCTGACGACATTCTTGGGATGGACGGCGACCTGCGGCAGCACAGCGATCAGAACTGCAGGGCCCAAAACTCCAGAGGGAAAAGAAATCCCGCTCTGGTGCCTTCCATGAGCGGGGAAAAAGTGGGGAAGGAGAGGTTGGGAAGAGTCAGGTTTGTCCCTTTTCTGTGTTTTTCTGCGCTGAGCTCTGCTGATTCCTAATGGGTTTCCTGCTGCCCTGGAAGTGCTGGGAATCTTGGAGAGCAAAGCCAAGCTCAGGGGCCTTTGGAAGCAGCTCATGCCCAGGAGTTTGTTGGACCATAGGATAAAGTTGTGGTGGTCACCAACAGCCTTGAGTTGATCCCAGTGCCTGGGAAATTCCAGTCCTCTCATTGATCCCGTGCCTACAAATGCAGGCATGGGTGGGACTCTTTATTTTAAAGCCTGGAAAAGGCAGATGGGATTGCTGGGCACCAGAGGTTCTGCAGGAGAGCAAGACCTCTGTGTCCTGGAGACACATTTTGGGATGGAGAGGAACCTGAAGCAGGGGATAAATCCTAACTACAATGCCCAAAATTCCAGAGGAAAAAGAAATCCTGCTCTGGTAGGATTCCTTCCTTCCCTCAGCAGGAAGAAAGAGAAAGAAAGAGGAAGAAAACATCTGTTGGGAAGGAGAGAAAAGACAGAAAATATTTTCCCCTATTCACGCAGGGGTCAAAGATGATCCAACTCACCGGGTCTGGAGAAGTGGAGACGAGGAGCAGCCGTGGATGGCACTGCAGAATTCCAAGAGCTCTTTTATACTTTTCCTGACCCCCAGTGGGACGGGAACCACACTTTGTGCAAGAGCTTCCCACGCGTTACCAAACCGTGTTTTGCTGGGCTGGATTGTTTCATTAATTGTCCTAATTGTTCTCCTAAGTGACGTGATAAATTCATTATTAATCCCAAGTCACGTTCCAAGCGCTGCACCCCTCGGGTTTGATCCCATTTGCTCCACATTCCGACCCCCAGGAGGTCACCTCGGAGCTGGTGCTGTCCCTGGGCCTCGCTGGAATTGAAGCTGGAATGAGTTTACGTCCATTTGAGGGATTTATTGATGAATAATTCGGGTTTGTGCACAATATTTGCTTTCCACCCCCAAAATCCGGATTTTGGGGAGTTGATGGAAGTGCTGCCTCTTCCCAGAGGCCGCTGGAATGGGAGAACCAGCAGCAGAACCCAGGATTTTCTGTGTAAAAATTGATATTTCCCAATTGGAGGAACCCAGAAAGTTTCACCTTAATTGAGGAGTCAAGGAGGAATTGCTGACTGGCAGAGCTGTCAAACCCGGGGATGTCACCAGGGCCTGACAGGGCTTGTTCGGGTTCTGTTGCAAGATCTTAACCCCGATATCGGCTCCTCGTGCTCTGTTTTCCAATCGGGTCTGGAAACACCAGAAATGTGGGGATAGGAGTTATGCGAACACCGACAATAAACTTCGTCGTGATAGAAATGTGAAATATGGGACGATCGTGGAATTTTGGGACTGTTGAGGCTGGAAAAGAGCTCCAAGGTCGTGGAGTCCAGCCTGGGACTGATCCCCGCCTGGTCACCCAGGACAATGGCCAGGTGTTCCTTGGACACCTCCAGGGAGTCCTTTCCACCCTTTCCAGGAAAGACAGGATGAAATTCCAGCTCCAAACTGGAGCCGCTTCCCTCCCTCAACTCCAACTGAGAATCAAATCTCAAATCTCAAATCTTACTTCTCAAATCTTAAATCTTAAATCTCGAATCTCAGATCTTAGCTCTTGAGTCTCAAATATCACATCTCAAATCTCGAATCTCAGCTCACCGATCTCAAATATCAGATCTCGAATATCGAATCTTGAAGAGTATCAAATCGCAAATCTTAGATCTCAAACCTCGAATTTCAAATCTCAAATCTCTCCAGCTGACTTTGATTTAGAACCAAAATCCCCCCAGTTTGATGGCACCAATGTTTGTGTGAGATTCTTGTCTTGGACAACCACCCCAAAATATCCATCACGTCTAAAACTCTCCTAGCTGTTTCTGGTGTTTGATAAATGGAATTTTCCTTGGAGATCTCTCCTCCTATTTATGCATTTCTGCCTTTCACCAGTCGAGGTTCAAACCCAGGAATTCTGTTGGAATTTTCAGGCAATTCAGGAATTCCCTGAAAAAATAATCCTGGCCAGTCTTGAGGTGCTTTTATTGTGTTTTAGATGGAATCAGCTTCATGCACTCAAAAATATTTAGGTTTTTTCATCCAATGATGTCTCCTGGACACGTGTCTCCTTGGAATATTGCAGCTGTCCCAAACGGGGACAAAATTAGGATAATTAAGATGACAAAAGGAGAATTACAATAATTAAATGCTCTCACACACGGCTTCCTTGGATGATAATGAGCATCCAAGGAATTAATTTAAGTCCTTTTTAATGAGTTCCCTGGGTTAAATAGGTATAAAAAATGACCCTTCCCAACTGAGGATTTACAAACACAAAATTTGTGAGTTTTCCCAATTCTGGATTTCCAGGGAATTTTCTGCAGAACAGAAAATATTTCCCTCGACAAAGCCAAACCGATTCTTTGCCCTTGCTGAGGGAATTCCTGATCCTTCACCCCTCCAAGCCAATTCCCAAGTCAAACCAGGTCAGGAAATGGCAGCTGTAATAAAATAATCTAAAAATTATTTAAGGATTAAAGGAGGACAAAGGGTGTGTGCATGTATTGGCTGATGAGGAGTTGATTTGCGAATTATTAGCACTTATCAAAGCAATTATTACAATTAGAAGGCGCTTATACAGCAAAAAATTGTTGCTGGTGATGTCCCAAAATGGTGTTGCACGGCCCAGGAGCCGTGGGGAAGGGTATAAAAACCGGGATTTTCCTGCAGGTTCTCCAGCACCTTCTCCTCAGTCCGGTTTTCCCTGCGAGCCCGGTGAGTTCTCTGCCTCTGGTTCCATCTCCATTAACTGGGATGCGGCTGTGGGTGCTGAATCGGGAAATGATTCCATGCCAGAGCTCTGAAATGATCGGGAATGTGGACCTGGGGCTCTTTTCCAAGCCAAATTGTTCGGTTTTATCAATTCTGTCTCATGGGCAGGGAAGCTTTTTGTGGCTGGAACTGAGGTTGTGCTGTTCTCAACCACAGAGGGAAAGTGTCAATTAAACCCTGATTATTTGATGGGGAAGATACAACTTAACTACTCTGAGCTTGGCTTTTATTCAGGATGGAGGGAAATGAGAAGAGATCGTGTTTTTATAGGGCAATAATTCCTTCAACCAGGAAATTGCAGATTTTTATCATCCTGGTGATTGTGTAAAGGCCCAGATCTCCCTGAACATTTTAATTTTACTGCATTGCTGCACTTCTCCCTCTACCACAAAAGACTTTGTCAGGAATCTTCCCAACCTCTCCTTCCCCCGCTTTTTCCCTGCTCATGGAAGGCACCAGAGCGGGATTTCTTTTCCCTCTGGAGTTTTGGGCCCTGCAGTTCTGATCACTGTGCTGCCGCAGGTCGCCGTCCATCCCAAGAATGTCGTCAGGAGCGATGATGAGCAGCGGCTGCTCGTCCCCGTGCGAGGTGTCCTGTCCCCAGCCCTACGCGGACGCCTGGAACCAGCCCTGCGTCACCTCCTGCGGGGACTCGCGGGCCGTGGTCTACCCTCCACCCGTGGTCATCACCTTCCCGGGGCCCATCCTCAGCTCCTTTCCCCAGGAGAGCATCGTGGGCACCTCCTTCCCAATGGGGGCCATGGGATCTTCTGGGTCCGGGGGCTCCATTGGGGGATCCTACGGAGGGGGCAGCGGCTCCATGGGAGGAATTGGGGGATCCATTGGAGGTGGTTCCATGGGTGGATCCTACGGAGGCGGTTCCATGGGTGGAATTGGGGGATCCTACGGAGGCGGTTCCATGGGAGGATCCTACGGAGGTGGTTCCATGGGTGGATCGTACGGAGGCGGTTCCATGGGTGGAATTGGGGGCTCCATTGGCGGCGGCTCCATGGGTGGAATTGGGGGATGCATTGGAGGTGGTTCCATGGGTGGCTCCTACGGAGGGAGCAGATCCTTTGGCTCCGGGGGCTCCTACGGGGGGAGCAGATCCTTTGGGGGCAGAAGATCCTTTGGGGGCTCCTCGGGTGGCGGCTTTGGGGGCTCCTGCGGCGGGGGCAGCTCCTTTGGGGGCGGCTCCTGCGGAGGGGGATCCTACGGAGGGGGCAGCTCCAGCTCCAGGAGGTTCGGAGGAGGAAACTGCGGCTTCTATTAATTCTGAGGCAGCCCCGGCTCCCCCGGCAGCAGCCGCGGGCTGGGCTCAGCTCCTGGGGAAGCTGCGAGCCAGGAGCATCCCAGGAACTGCCTTCTCCAGCCTTTGTGGATCTGCATGGCTTCCCAAAGCCTTGGGAATCGTCCTTTGTGCTCCCTGAGTGTGACTGTGCCCCCAGCCCTTCCCTGCCATTAAAGTTCTGTTGCATTCAAATTCCTGTTGTTGGTTTCTTTTCTCCTTTGTAGCTCCTTTTCCCGACTCATCTTTTTGCCTAATTCAGGAATTTGGGATGGTTGGCGCCCCCCCCAGCTCCCTCCGGACCTCTCCAAACCCTTCCCCATCTCAAACTTCTCAAACAATTAATATTTATTCAAATTTCCTGCTCTCAACACCTTTTGTAACTTCACCACTTAGAAGCCTGAAATCCTTTTCCAGCTGGGATTCCACAACCACTTCCTCATCTCTGACTTTATCCACGTAAATAAATAAAAACGCGCAGAAGAGGAAATTCACTCCTGCGTGTGGAAGTCAGGCTGGTCCAAAAGCTCCCTCTGGAGCTGCTCTGGGGAAAGGAATTCGTGCCAGGAAAGGGCAGAGCAGCTCTTCCCTTCCAAGGGGCTGGAATTCCTGGGGCTGGAATTTTGGGGAATTCCTGGGGCTGGAACCTGGCAAGGGATGAGGACCTGGAGCTGGGAATGCCCCCAAGAGAGCCAAAAACAGGATAAAAGCTGCAGGAGGCTGCTGCCGGTAAGGAGAGAGGAGGAGAAGGAGGAGGATGAATCCTCCTGGCAGGGCTGGCACTGCTGAAAGGAGCTGGAAAGGAATTCCAGCATCTCCAAACTTTTCCGAAGCTGCCAGAGGTTGCTGGGTTGGGCTGCTCCAGGGAAAGCAGCCCCTGACAGCTCCTACTGATCCTGATCCTGGTCCATTCATTCCCCATCCCTGGAAGTGTCCAAGGCCAGGCAGGATGGGAATTGGAGCAACCTGGGATGGTGAGAGGTGTCCCTGCCCATGGCAGGGCACGGGATGAGGGGATTTTTAAGGTCCCTTCCCACCCAAACCATCCCATTTCAGTGATTCCTTTAAAATCCTCTCCCAGGGGCCCATCCCAGCTTCCCAGCTCCGGAATTTTGTGTCACACTCAGCTGAGGAGCCCTGGATCACGCTGGCACCAAAATCCCAGCACCTGACACCCCAAACCAGTTGTTTTTGATCACCCCCAACATTTCCTGGTCTCATTTCCCTCCTTCCTGTCTGGGTTTTTTTTGTTTTTTGTTTATTTTTGTCACGACCTCCATGCTCTCTGTTCCCTCCTGGAAACAGAATGATCCCAGAGGCTCCCCTGGGCAAAAGCACCGATGGGGAATGCTGTGAGGAAATGCTTGGGGACGGTTTTGCAAACACCCACTCATGTTTTACCCATGCAAAGCACCGTGGCTCTCTGAAGTTAATGACAGGCTGCGGGTATTAAAGCAGGACTGAATCATAGCGTCCCTTCCAAACAAATGTGTCAGGGCCACCCACGTGATTCCCCTGACTCAGTCTCGGGAATTCGGATCCCTCTGCCTCTTTGGGATTGAAAGCCTGCCCCTGTGTTTGTTATCCTAATGATACCATTTCAATCCACTTGGCCAAACACTCACCTTCCCAAGTCAGGCCATATTTGGGGATTTAAATGGGACCGGGCTTCTCTCACCTCGGGGGCTGAGCTTCCAGCGTGCCATGAATTTCTGCTTCGCCCCAGCACCAGCTGGGGCTGCAACTCTTTGTCCTCTGGATCCAAAGTTGTCCTGAGTGACCTTAAATAAATCCTGGGGTTTTTTTCCTGGTTTTCCCTGTGTTAAACAGGGAATTATTGCCTTTGGTGGCTTCTCCCCTCGCCCCGAGTTTCCCACACTCCTCCACGCTCCAACATTTTTCTGGTGACCAAAACCACCAGGAAAGGAACTGGGGATGGGGTGATTTATCCCATACTAGCATCCCTCTGACCATCCCACTTTTCCCAAAAGGGACTTTCCCACTTCCGATTTCTTCCCGGGCACGAGTTTTGTGGCAGAGGAGAAGTTTTGTGCTAAACCAGGGCTCCACCGGACACATCAACTCCTGGTGCTGTTTTATATCCCGGAATCCCAGGATTGTTGGGGTTGGAACTCCAGGGACTCTGGAGATGTCCCAGAGCAGGTGACACAGGGACACATCCACGTGGGTTTGGGATGACTCCAGACAGGGACAATCCCAATTCTGCCCTCCCTGGGCAGCAGCTCCATGGAAGGAAATTCTCCCTCACGTTCAGGTGGAACTCCTGGAGGTTTGGAACTCGGGATGAGTCGGATCCTGGACTCGGACACCAAACGAGGAGCCAGAGCCCCACGGGCTCAGTGGGGAGTGGCTCTGGGAGCCGACTTGGCCACTCCAGTCCGGCCGTTCCCATAAACACGTCCCAACAAGTTTGGAAGCAGCCAGGAACACTCACGGCTAATGCTGGGTTAGGCTCTGCTGCATTCTTGGAGACCAGGAAAACAAATCCTGGGATTAAGGAGCTGCAAGGACGAGCCTTGCAAAGCTCAGGAGCTCCTGCAAAGCCGAGCTCAGCCCAGGTTTTCACCTTGGGAGCGCTGCGGGAATAAATTTTAGCCTCAAAACTCTGAAATGAGAAGAATCCGGGACCAAACAACGGCGGTCACGTGCTGGTGAGAAAAGGGTAATCAACACAAACAGTGAGCAAAGCAAAGCAATTACTGTAATTACCCCTCAAATTTGGTTTGGGGAGTAATGGGACCTAATGCCCAAATATGACGTTATTTTCTTGCATCAGCCTGGTGGTCCAGCCGGGGATATAAAAACCATTCCTGACTCAGGGAGCTTCCAGCGGGTCCTGTTGGCTTCTCCTCGGTGAACTGAGTAAGTTGGATTCTGATATAACTTCTTCCTAAAATAATAAAATGAGTCTAATTTTAAAAAAACGTTTACGTTTAACTCAGCGCTGAATTTTGGATTCGTGTTCTGCCGTTCTGGAAAGCAATTCCATTTATTTTCATGGAATAATCAAAATAGTTTTGATTATTCATCCAGAAGCGCTGCGGGATAAAAGTTTAAAAATGTATCTGCAATCTAGATAATATTAAAACCATTTAATTCCATTGCTTTATGGAAATTTAATGGATACAACCTTTAGGTAACCTTAAAATACCTCAGCCAGCAGCTTTCACCTGGCGGGGTGGTTCTGCCCTTGTGGCTTCTGATTTTTATCTGATTTTGGGCAGAGGTGGTGTGGAAATTTAAACACAAGTTTTAGAAATATTGAGATGGGTAGAGCTGCAGTCGCCTGTGGATGAGGACACAACATCCCTGCGGATATGGCAGTACAAAATTCCTGGTTTTCCTATGCAGAAGATACGGGAATGACCCAAAAAGTGTCAGCTTGGGAAGCTGCTTTGGGTGGTTTTGTTCTGTTTATGCAAAGCTTTGGTTTTATGCAAAGCGAGAATATTTGAATCTGCTTGGGATGTGTGGTGCTCTGTGTTTAGGTCTGGTTTTAAGTTATTCCTTTCCTCTGGTTTGGTCTCTGATCAGTGTCAAGTCAAGGACACGGAATTCAGAGTTGCAGCAGATTTAAAGGGTGGGGAGCTCAGGAGAGCACCTGGATTAGGGTTTAAATTTGGGTGAATTATGCTCATTTGGGCATCGTGTTTAGAACAAGGAAAGAAAACAAAAATGGCTTGAGTCAAACTCAACCCCACCCAGGCTTCTCCAATATGCAGCTTAAAAAAGAAATAATCGCCTGGGCCGAGCCCAAAATATTCAATTTAATCTGCAACAACACATTAAGCGGCTCCTTCGCTCAGGGCTTTGAGGTGGAATTTGGGTACGGTTGAAAGGACAACTTGAAATGGACTTTTGCACTGTTTTCCAAATCCCCACCCTTAAATTTATTTCAAAACCAGAAAGAATTCAGCCCTGGTTTGGGAACAGTTTTAATCCCTCTGAAATTTAAATCTGCTGCTCTCAGGTTTTTGTCGTGTTTCAGGTTTTCCTCATGATCTTGCAAAAGGTTTTTATTGAATTTTTTGAGTGAGTTTTGTGCTCAATACCTGTGGCAAAGGCACCTTTTATGAACTGACAGCACTAAATCCATAATTATTGGTATCCTTTTGGATCAATGCCATCACAGCGATGACATTCCTTGGATTTTTATCTTCTCAGCCCAGATTTTGTCCAAATTGGGTCCAGTAAAACCTCTCGTGTTCTCCATTCCTACAGTGGTTTATGTGCTGCCCTCATTTTACTGAGCTCCACCTCTGGAGCCCAAATTGCACGGGAGAAAACAGATATTAATTAAACAACAGCCCCAGAGTGGTCATTTGGTGTCCACAAAGTGGTGTTTTGGTGTCATCCAAGAAGTGGCTTGGTGTTCCTAAAAGAGGTGGTTTGGGGTTCCCAAAGAGGTGGTTTGGTGTCCCCAAAAGAGGTGGCTTGGTGTCCCCAAAGAGGTGTTCTGGTGTCCCCAGAGAAGTGTTTTGGTGTCCCCAAAAGAGGTGGTTTGGTGTCCCCAAAGAGGTGTTCTGGTGTCCTCCAAGAAGTGGCTTGGTGTTCCTAAAAGAGGTGGTTTGGGGTTCCCAGAGAGGTGTTCTGGTGTCCACCAAAAAGTGGTTTGGTGTTCTTAAAAGAGGTTGTTTGGTGTCCCCAAAAGAGGTGGTTTGGTGTCCCCAAAAGAGGTGGTTTAGTGTCCCCAAAGAGGTGTTCTGGTGTCCCCAGAGAGGTGGTTTGGTGTCCCCACGGAGGTGTTCTGGTGTCCCCAGGGAGGTGTTTGCTTCCCAGGACTCTGGAAGGTCACCAAGAAGAGCCCAGCCAAGCAGAGCAGAGCAGAGTTATCAACCCACCCACCACCTCGTGCCTTTCCAGGGGTTGACCCCATCCCTCCAGCTCCTTGGGATTGACATTTGTCCCCTCCTTCCAGGTCCAGCCCAGCCTCAAGATGTCCTGCGAGAAAACCGTGTGTGCCG